GCTCCGGTCACAGAGTGTCTCATCTACTGGGAACAGCTGAAGGATGCCCTCATTCACACCCTCAGCCAGCACAAAATCAGGTCTGGCTGCTTTTCATTCTTGCCTTTTGTGCAGTCAGCTGTGCATCATATGCCTCTCACTAAGCAGCCCTCTCATTCTGAAATGCCCAAATTCCACTCAGGCAGACTGATCATAAGATTGGGCCACTTGCCTACCTATGGTCAGCCTCCGTTTAAGGTGTGTTATAAGTGTGTGGGCTACCCACTAATTCTTCAAGCCAAGTCGGCACAGCCCTACAATCATACAATGAGATGATGCGGCCTCATTTACCGTTTAGTTTAACATAACCACAGATAACTTTGGATAAATTTTGAATCAGCAACATTTGAACACTTCCAGTCCACCTCTCGCAAAATAAAACACCACTCCTTCCGCCCTCACCATAAAATATATTCCGACCCACTAGCATCTTTAATAGACACTGTTTAACCGTCGCAACCGTCAACAACCGTCGCAAGCGACGACACCTACCGAGCGTCCCGCAAAGTGGATGCACTACCATTGACTAACGCAGACTTGCGAGGCATTTCCTGCATTCCACTCCTTCACCCACATTGGTTCAAAAGCTAGACAATTTCAAGACAACTGGAGGTAGACGCAGGCATAGGGACTAACAAACTAACAAATCCGTCTACACGGACGACACACGACCTGGTTCCCATTACGTGTACCATGCTACATGGCTCAGATGTCACTTGTATGAGTGTTGACGCTCACATTAAAAGGGAATTATTTCCGCTTAACCCTTGATCCTAAGAAGGGTCGAGTTATACGGCCAGATGGCAGCCCTCCAAACCGCGATTTTTAGTGCTTCCTGACAGATTCTCGGAAGTGCGATTTATTATAGTGAGTAATCCATCTCTATACCGTTAGGACAAACACCCTACTTGGCGATACAAACGAAAATGGGAGTCCCAGGAAGGGGTTGATTAGAAGTAAATGCGACTGCGGGAACAGGAACATTATTCGCCTGAAATTTTGTGCTCATGTTTGAGCACATTATCAGAGACAGCATCAGATACGAGTAATTCATACATACATTTGGCGAGCGCTCCTGTATGTCACGAACGTCTTGGAGGCCGTCAGCCGTCTTTTCGCAGCACCTGAAGTTGGGGTCGCAAACAGACCGGAGGCAATCTTTAGGCGTCGGGTAATGAGACCAAAAGATCCACTAATACGGGAAGAAAGGCCTGGAATCGCTTATCGGATCTGGTGCAGTTGCGGGCAAAGCAATTACGTCAGGTAAACTGAAAGACTGGTTCGACGTGAATTGCCAAACTCGCGGCAGCTGTGCGGAGAACTGACGCAAGTTACGGCTCAGTTGCGGAGATTCGGTCACCCATTCAGAGTCGATAAGGCTGAGCTTCTAGAGAGAAGTGACAACCAGGTTCACGGTTCTGTTACCAAGTGCAATGACTACCCCACCCCACATCGGGTGCCGAGACTTAATTTTACCAAACTAATTAGGCACTCGAGGAACGCACGGGCGAACACTGTTTCGAACACCAATGCTGATAAGCCAGGTAGCCGAGCAATCATCACGTTAACATAGAAACAGGATGACGAAATTTCAGCAACTACCGACTCGAATGGCGTTCATCAATCCAATATCATGCCGGAGGGCAACCAATCTCGATGAAAGGGGAACCGTTAATTGTCGTAGGTTTGTTGTAAACTAGCCACTGCGTCCTATAAATACTGCAACCCTCTTTGTGTGAATTATCCCTATCTGCTGCTGTCTCTGATGATAGTTTCTAGCATGAATCCGAAATATCAAGTAAATAGAGCTCTTGTTGTAGCGATCGCTTCTACTTTACCTGCATTCATCCCCGGACGGCGGTCTAACCTTTTCTGTAGGAAGGATGCTCTGAATATAATAGATCACTAAAAACTGGCTGGTGATTCTGAGTGCTAACGTTTTGCACTTCCCACGCCAGTTGGTCCGACTAATTGCAGTTTTTGTCGTTATATCTTTTTTTCCTGTTCCCTGCTTCCTCATGTTCCCATTTTGTGGATTTACTTTCATGTCGCAGTTGTCTTTGGTGATAGATGCAAGCGAGAATCCGAAAAGTTAGGCCAATAACCTTCTTTTTCTAGCAATCGCATTATCGTCTTCTGGGTTTCATGGTTGTTGATCAATCTTCTGCGCTCCTATCCTCTCGCTTCTCTCTCCCACCTTATTCCTGTTTGACACTATCGATTAAACGATAGTCATCTCAGGAAGCGTTTTATTTCAAGAGGAGGAAGATAATTAGAACACCTCGAGAAAAAATTAGAAATCTTAGGTTAATTGACTATCCCTTTCAAAACTCGGTTTACCTTATTGTGAACGACAGTGGCATTCAAGTTACTTCGTCGTATACGGGGTGAAAGTTTGAATATTTACCGATTTTTTTGTGTCCAGCTTCCTTGAGGACTGTTTCCCATTTTTGATCCTCTCAGCGAACATTAGTTTGTCCATCAGGCTCTTTATTGCCATTATTTTTTTTTTACTAAAATGCACCTCTCATTTTTTGCCGCAGAGACCCCGTGTTATAGTTTGCACACTGTATTTACATTATGCTTTTTTCCCTTTTAGGTTCATATTTGATGGCCTGGGTGATTTCATTTCCCAGCTCTTTATTCGATTTATTCCTCAAATCACACGAATTAATTCGAACGGCAATAGGAAGATGTAAGCCGGTTTTTTTGTATCTTCTAACCATTTAATGGTTTTTGATTTAAATTAAATATCGTGTAGGAAGTGCGTATATGCCCCCGCCCCGACAGGATACGGCGATAGGAGCGCCTCCCCCCACGTAATACAAATGGCTTTACGCTAAGTTCTAGGAAAGGTTACTAATCCTTCGTCCTAGACCTAACACTAACTTTGAACCACACCTTAACCGTAGCCCTAACCTTAACCCTAAAATAACGCTTAATATAACCTTAGCTTTAGATATGAAAATAACTTAGGTGGGTTGCTGACGCCTCACT